TTGCTAATTAAATTCTTAAAAGAGTTTGCAGTTTAGCCAATTGGACTTTTGTCCTTATGGGCTCTCCGCTTGGCTTGATATGTTGTTTTATGGGGTGGCAGAGAGAATGGAAAAACATTAAGGCCAATAATACGATTCTAATTAAAATAATTCGATTCTTAACGCCTTCCAAATGCAGACATCTGGGTGGGGGGGGGGGTTGTAATATATTTTGTGGCAGTTTTACTGAGATTGCTTTGAAAAGGGGAGGAAGTAATTATCTTGATAGTTTAATCAGAGGATCATCTTATTTCACTTATTTCACATGAAGATCAGTGGGCCTTACTTCGAAATAAATGTGCTTATACTAATGCATAGCCAGCTTCAGGAACAAAGATATTTTTAGCTCATGAGCCTAACTTTTGAAATCTAAACCTCTTCCCCAAGGAGGAAATCCACAAACATCCGGAAATGACCTCCTCCTCCCCCTCCCCATTTCTGCTTTTGTTTGCCATTCTTGTTTGTTTGTTTTTAATTTACAGCCAGGCTTTTGAGGGTCATTTCTACTCAGGTCATGTTGCCAAGACCATCCTGGAATCATCCAGGAGTCCTTTGTGGTGCTCAGCCCGTTCCCTGATGCCTAATTCCCCCTGTCAGGTTGAAGAGCTTTCTGGAGGGAATCTGCCCTGACCTGCAGACCTCAGCAGAGCCCGACTGGAGTGTCAGAAATTATATACAAAGGAAGGAAGCAAGCCACAACACACACACACACACACACACACACACTTACAATGCTACAGACAACCAGGCACATTCCCAGGTTGTTCCACCCATCCAAAGAATCTGTCTTCTGCTTCCAAGCATCCAGCACCACTTTGCTGGCCTGCTCCGGATCCTAAATAGGTCCAGAGAGAGGAATACCGTGATGGGAACCCAGCTCAAACCAGCATCCTGGTGGTCCCTTAGCAGGGGAAGAGGAGGGACTCCGAATTGGGGAGAAGGAAAAATGAGCCCACTTGGTCGATTCTGAGTGATTCATGGGCACAGCCAGATTGACATTTTTAGCAACCCCCGGATACACAGGCCAGAGGCTTCACTCAGGGCACAACCCTATTCACGTTTATCCTGGACCTCACTCTAGTTGTCCAACGGGTTCTCTGAGACCAGGGCTCCCGCTTGTCCTTGAGGTATCCCCGCGAAAAAGCCATTCCTTAGATCAGTGTTTCCCAAACTTGACATTTTTAAGGCATGTGGACTTCAACTCCTCATGCCTTAAAATTGTCAAGTTTGGGAAACACTGCCTCAGATTACCGGGGGGGGGGGAACGGCTAGTACGAACATCTCCCACCCAGTAAACGCCGCCAAAGAGCCGTCGGTTCAGGAATCCTTGTCGGATCCGAAGCAAGTTAGCTAGGAAGGCCGCTCTTCTTTCCGAGCGAAGGGGAAGCCGCTCCGGGGATCAGATGTCGAGGAGGGCGCAGGCTGATCTGGCCCTTCTTCCCTACCACTGCCAGGACGGGGAAAGGCTTGGTCTTCCACCCCAGTGAACGCGGCAACCTGACTGTCCGGAGACAGTCAGGCGCTTTGGGGGGGGGGGGACACCGACTTCTTGCCATTCCCAAAGGGTGGAGCCCTTCCCGTGTCTTAGCAGACCCAGCTCTGGCCTTTTCTCACAGGCCAGGAGGAAAGGCACGCCGGGCCTTCCCAGCCAGGCCGGCTCAGGGCACCCAAAATGCTTTAAAAACGGGTCAACCTCCCCGGCAATGCATCCGAATCTGCATTCAGATGGAGCCGAATCTGCATATTGAAATCACATATATATAATTACCTCTCTCCTGCCCTCCCGGCCCCTCCCCCTCTCCCTCTCCGGATCTTTCTCTGAGCCCGGGCCAGATCCGCTGAGCCCACGAGCAGGAAGACGGAACTTTCGACGTGTATATCGGGCTTGCTTATTTCCCGGGAATTTGGGGGAATGAAAAGCTCTAGGAAAGAAATAGGAAAAAAAAACTCCCTCTCTCCCTTTCCCACCCCCCCCCCGGGTCTCACACACACGCGTACAAAATCAAAACCTTCCCCCCCCCCGTCCCAACAAAGCGCAAACGTCTGTTGGGAAGGCTTCTTGGCAATCCAGCCGATCCTGGGCAGTGTGGAATGAGCGGGATGGCCTAGGCCAGTGTTTCCCAAACTTGACAATTTTAAGGCATGTGGACTTCAACTCCCAGAATTCCACAGCCAGCGTTGCTGGCTGTGGAATTCTGGGAGTTGAAGTCCACATGCCTTAAAATTGTCAAGTTTGGGAAACACTGGCCTAGGTAGAAAACCCCCCGCACGCATTTCTTCTGCAGCCCGGGAGAAAAACGAGGCCCCTCCGCAGCGCCATCCCGGCAAGGCAGGCAGCTTTCTGCGCCGCCCGTGCAAAGACGGCGGCGGGACAAGGGAAGGCTCAGCCGGGCTCCCGTTCTCCTTCGGCTTGAAAGAGAGCCGGGACGACCTTGGCGGTTGAGATCTGGTTGGAGGCGATGCCGAGACCCATCCGGAGGGGCTCCCTTTCAAAGCTAGGCCGAGAAAGGAGCTAAAGAACCCAGCCGGCTTCTCACTCCGGAGTCGCTGTTCCGAAGCTGTTCAGCCTCCAAGGTTGGAGATATTCTCCAGCGTACCAGAAACCCACTAAAGGCCTGGGACTCACCATAAGACGGCAAGTGGGTTCAAATCTCCAGACTGGAGATATTTCGATCGTGAGATTTCTTTCTTTGGCGGAAATTAAAATTGGAGACACTCTAGAAGCAAGTTGGCGTGCCTGTACTGCTTCCACTCTCCTCCACCACCACCATTTGGGAACTTTTTAAGACCCAGACTTGGCCCCTGAACCCTCCTTTTTCAAACCGGTTTTCCACCCTTCTTCCAATCCCACTGCGGAATCTGTATCTCGTAAAGAGGGCTTAGATCTCTGTTGATAGGCGAATCTGTCCAAGCTTGTCAAATCCGCTGTTTTCGGGAAAATTCTCCTTCTGTGTCCACCAAGGATGAAATAAATTATTATTACCATAGTAATGGTATTCTGTATTTACAGAGATAAAAGTGCACTGGCAGAAGTGAGTTGATTTCGCCCGTTTAGGAGTGGAAGAAAAATGGCGGTTCCTTAGATTCTTTGCTAATGAATCCAAAGTAGTTGGATAAAGAGAAATCTTCAGTTCCAGATTAAAGGCATGGTTAGTATATTCGCCTAGAGATACAAAATGCCCTTTCCAAGGCCACTCACTCTTCCCTCGTTCTATGCTTTTCTAAGGCTTTAGCCAAAATATTTAGTCGTGTGAAACGAAGGGGGGGGGGGGAGATGGACTGTTTTACAGTCAATCTCTTACAGGAAAGCTAAAAGACGCTTAGAATCACCCAGTAAAAGCAAGTTCAGCTGCAAAGTTATATGAACCTTATTCTTTCTACTCCTCTGAATTAAATATTCCTCTGAAAGAACGTAAAACACACACCAATGCATCAGGATATGAGGAAAAATGAGAGAAGAAGGTAAGTGATACCAACAGGCTAAAGAACTCCAATAATATTCTATCTTCATGGATGCACACAGCTGCTGAAAGCGTTTCTAACTTGCTCTCCCCTTTCGCCTACATACAGTCAATCGAGAAATATTTGGCTTTTATGTAATGATTATATATGATAAGAATAATTGTTTTAATTACAACAGTATTCATTTATGAAATTTATACATTCAATATGTTTGTATTTTATATGTTACTTTTATATGTCAAATAAAAGGAAATATAAAAGTAGTGTACGTGGACTTTGGATAAAAGTACATTTCGTATTAGACACTCACAAAATGTCCAGTCTGAGGGGAACTCCCAAGAGTTTATATCCGGAATACTAGCTATCTTTCCCACGAGAGATCCTGGTCATCTTAGATTCCCTAGCAACCCTTGCCCTTGTTTTGTTTGGGGTGAAAAAGGCAGATACGTCTCCAATTATATGAATGTGTTGATCAATTTAAACAATAATAACTCAAATTATTTACTTTTAGGTAAAGAAGAGGGAAGAAAACAGGACAAAAAAAACAGGAGAAAGTTAGGGCGTTCTGAAAGAGGATTTGTCATTCTTTTAATATATGCTTCTCCACACACAATTCCTCGCCTTTCAGAAAATAAATCACATCGCCCAATAGATTTAAAAGACGCAGATTTCTTTTCTTTTTTTTAAATCATTAATGATAAACGTGAAAAATACCTGCTGGTACCTCACTTTAGGAGAGTGTAATTGGTAAAAATAGTAGGTTGATGAATAGATAATAGATCCTTAACTACCAATAAACACTAAGCAGCGGCCCGCAGTGTAAGGATGTGATCATAATTATTCGACCGCGGCAGCCAATGGGAGCAGGAGAACTCGGCCCTAAAAAATCGTCCCCGAACGCCAAGGCAACCTCGAAAACCCGGACGAAGCCGGATTCCCGGATGAGGCGCCAGTCTCTCCGCCACAAGCTCAGCTTTGTGTCCTCCTGCCCCCCCCCCCGATCTCTGTTCGAAGAGTCTCCCCGAAGTTGGTGCCTGCCGGAGACGGGGAAGGCGGGGCGCTCGCCGAGTTCTTTCGGGACGAGAAAACGCCAGGGGTCCCGAAACCAGTTCCGGAAAAGTCTCCGAAGGAGAACCTTCGAAGGAGAAAGTGATCCCCCTTCCCCTCCGGGACTACAGATCGACGGGGGAGGCTTCTAAGGTGTAAAGGGGGGGGGGCGTGAGAAGGCGCTAGAACGAGGGGAACGGCCGCGTCCTCGCCCCCCCCCCCGCCGACTCAGCCCCGGAGCCTCCTTTTTTCCGGAAAGGTTGCAGATGGGTTTTCCCCAAAACTCAGCTCCTCCTTCCCACCGAAGCGCGGCGTTAGGGGACTCGGGCATGCCGGTTCGGCGTTTGTTTTTGTTTTAAGCCCGACGAGTGGCTCCCTTCTTCCCCCTTCCCCTCCCCGCCCCAGCTCCTCCCCGTCCCTCTTCAAAGCTGGGAAACCGCCCCGGTTCCTACCTGACCCCTGGCGGGCTTCGATTCAACTCGCGGGACCAGCCGCCGCCGCCGCCGCGTCCGTCTCTTCCTGCCTCCTCGGGTGATTTTGCGCCTCTCTCTCCCTCGCCCCCCTTCAGTCTCGCCCGGCAGGCGGAGGAGTCCGTTCCAGGCGGGCCCGGATCCATCCCTCCAGGATCGCGTCGGCCAGAAGTTTGCCTCTCCCCTCTGACGCACTTTAAAGAGTCTTCCCCCCTTCAACCTCAAGGCGAGTAATAGCGACCAATCATCAAGCCATTTACCAGGCTTCAGAGGAAGCTGTTTATGTGATCCGCGGCACTAATTAGGCTCATGAACTAACAAATCGTTTGCGCCACTTTGGGCAAAGGGACCCGATCGCTCGCCTTCATGGATTGCCGCTGGACTTAAAAGGAGCCGCCTCGGGCGCTGCGCGGAGGAAGGAAGGAAAGGAAGGAAGGAGCGAGCGAGCGAGCGAGCGGGAGGGCGGACGGGCGGAGGGTGGGCGAAGAAAGAGGGGGGGGGAGAGGAGAAGAAGAAGAAAAAAACCCCAGAACTTCGCCCAGCAACTTTTTTCCCCACTTAGTGGATGAAGGGAGCGCGGGAGCCGAGAGGAGCGGCTGCGGAGAGCGTCTCCCTTCCGGGCGCTCGCCTCTTCATGCGGCCGACCAGTTTCCCTCCTGCTGCCGTCGCTGGCGGCCGTCCGGCGGCCAGACTCTGGATCTAGGCGGGCCGATCGCTCCGATCTCCTGGCCAGGACCCCGAGGAGGAGGAGGAGGAGGAGAAGCGGCGGCAAGCCGCAGGCCAGCCGGAGGAGCGTCTGCTCGTCGCCAGGATGTTCCAGCCCACCCCGAAACGCTGCTTCACCATCGAATCTCTGGTGGCCAAAGACAGCCCGGCTTTGCCCGCCTCCCGCGCCGAGGATCCCATCCGGCCGGCGGCGCTCAGCTATGCCAACTCCAGCCCCATGAATCCTTTTCTCAACGGCTTCCACTCGGGCGGCCGGGGAGTCTACTCCAACCCGGACTTGGTCTTCGCCGAGGCTGTCTCGCACCCGCCGAATCCCGCCGCCGTCCCGGTCCACCCCGTGCCCCCGCCCCACGCCTTGGCCGCCCACCCGCTGCCTTCCTCTCCCTCGCCTCACCCGCTCTTCGCCTCGCAGCAAAGGGACCCGTCCACCTTCTACCCCTGGCTCATACACAGATATCGGTACCTGGGCCACCGGTTCCAAGGTAAGCGCAGAGGACAGGGCCGGGGCGCTGGCGTCTCTCTCCGGCTCTTCTGCCCAGGGTGGGGAAATAAATCGAGGAGGGGGGGGATTCCCGATTGCCGCTATTACGGAAGAGGGCCAAGTCCACCGCGCTCGAGTTTCAAGGTGAGCCAGGAGGAAGTCGCGGCTCTTTGTCCCCGCCACCTCGAGAGCCATTTGCGTCCACGAGAAATAATTGTTGGAGCTAGTCCGGATCAGCTTCAGGGAACTCCCGCTTGCTTGCTCGCTCTCTCTCTTTCTCGGTGGATCTCCGGGATCAGTAATCTGGTGGGAATGCAAAGAGAATGGAGCAAGGAGGGATCCTCGGGAATCGATTTGGCTCCAAGGAGCTTCCCTTCCTCCCCATCCCCCCCCACCCCAGAAGAGAGGGAATTTTTGTAGAAAGTCCTGACTTTCGGCTTAGGTGTTTTGTTTTTTTCCTTTTTCCCTTTTTCGTATTTGTCTGAATCTTCCACGAAATAAACCGGCCGAATCATTTAGTTGGAGGGGGGGGGCCACTTCAGTAAATTAACTACACTAGAATTTATTAAAACCGGAGGAGAACAAAGGGGTAGAGTGGAAGCTAATTCTTGTTAGCATTAGGGCGACTTTTAATATCTCACCGCTGAATTTATTTTTAAATAGACAAACCAGACAGAGGTGACATGCATTTGGAATTAATGCTGTCTCCTGAACTCAAATATTTAAGCTGCTACTTTGAGAAATTTCTCTAGCAGCTTCAGGGGGGGGGGACTTGTGTTGTGTGCATATTTGTATGTCTTAACTAAAATACAAACACATATACACATTCCTTAACCTTATTTCTCGCGAGCCCTTCGGGCTACGGTAATCGACTTCCGAAGTGCTGCTTCTAAGGGAACTTCCTTGGAATACATTCCTTTGAAGTCCAGGGTCTCCGAGGGTCTTAACTTCTCAGGAAAACAACAACAACTTAAGTCGCCCGGCAGTCGCTTCCCCCTGTTTTGGGTTGGCACCTCTCCCCCTCCGCTGTCATTTTCCAGTGAACGGGGAGATCTTCAGAACAGCACAAAAGTAAAGCTGCAAAGACTTGGGAAAGATTCCTGAATAACAGCTTTCCACTTTCATTTCTTTTCTCTTCCCTTCTTTATGCGTTCGCATATAATTACCCCTAAACAGAAAAGTGGGTGAAAGGCCCGCGTCAAGGTGAGATAGCCAGGGAGATAAAAAGAGAGAAGGTAGATAAAAAGAGTGAGCGAGAGCGAGAGAAATTCGGAGGTCAAGTGATTAAGACTTTTGAAAGCTGAAATTCGGGGCGGGGGCGGGGAGAGGAGCAATCAGTCTGAGAGATCTTCACCTGCTGCCTATGCCTGTAAGGCATCCGTCCTGCTATACGTGCGCTCGCTTCTCCTCTCTCTCTCTTTCTCTCTCTCTCTCTCTCTCTCTCTCTCTCTGTGTGTGTGTGTGTGTGTGAGGGAGTGCAGTTGCAGTCCTAACGCACTCCAATGGCTTGAAAAATATTTGGCTTCTGTTATTTTACAAAGCTTCCCTTCTCCCCCTCCCAACAAACAAAGAAATAAATAAAGGCCATCCGCCAAATTCACTATGGGGTACATATTTGGGATGTGGACAAGAAAAGTCGAATCCACACTGGCGCTACTGTCGGGTTGGAGCGGTTCCCCAGAAGAAGATAAGGTAGCAAGCGGCTGATTATTATGCGGCTAAGCTCTGGGTGGAAAATTAAGGGTTTCGCTCACTCCGTAATCCGCGCTCCGTTGTGCCCGGGTGGTTGAAAAGCGCCAGCAGAAAGGAAGGGCTTTGACTGGCTGTGGCGCTGGTGAGACTGGGGTATCGGCCTTCCCGGGGAAAAAGAACGAAATACCAAGGCGGGGAAACCCAAGAAAACAAAATAGACGGGCGATTGGAGTGACATTTTCCAGCCCTTACTAAAAAAAATGTTTTTGCGGTGGGCGAATGCAGCGCTGACTATGTCTGCCTGCGTGTGCCTGTCACGGAGACAGAAACAAACCCGCGTTTTTGCTTGGGGACAGGACAAAGATCTAAGGAATTCAGTGCGGCTTATTTTTAAGGCACCATCCCCCGCCTCGCCGTTTGCTTGCGTTCTGTAGAAGAGGCGGTAGAGGAGGACTCTGAATTTCGTAAAACCAACTTTGTCAAGAGCGGGACCTCCGGGGCCCCATTTTTTAAAACGGACAGTGGCGAGGGCAGTAATTCTACCCGCTTATCTTAGTAGGGAACCGACAAAGAGAGTTTTCAAAATAAACAAAAGCGCCCAGCAAGGAGAGGAGGAGGAGGAGGAGGAGGAAGAAGAAGAAGGAAGAGAGCTCGGATCGAGGGAATAAAGTGGGAGTTTACAGTGGATCCGGGTGGGGGAATCTATTCAGGAAACTGGGACTCCTGAAAGATACTTTTTGCACCTTTCCCGCAGTATGTGGAGAAGGCTGGCCCATAGAAGAAATAATTTGTTTTGTTACTGTCGATTCCTCTTAATTCCAATTAGACGCTTTCGGAGAAGCACCCTTTACACCTCGTCTTGCCTTCTACGAAAGAATACCAAGTGGCCAATGAATATACCCTCAGTTTCATCTCCCTCCCCAATTTCCTTTCTGAAGGCAGGTACTAGAAAAGAGAGGGGCAGCTGATTCCAATCCGCCTTCGAGGGGAGAACCGAAGCTCTAGCGAAGTAACAAACCCCGTGTCAGAAAAGGGGCCAAATAAAGAAAGGGCGGAGTCTTATTTGCCACCTCGTGAAAGAGAAGCACAAAACAGTGTTGAGCTGGGCTTGGTTGGTTCTTGCTCTTTTTGTGCCTTCACTTTTGTCCCCCCCCCCTTCTGGTTATCCAGGTAATGAAACCAGCCCGGAGAGTTTCCTCTTGCACAACGCCCTGGCTCGGAAACCGAAACGGATCCGCACCGCTTTTTCTCCATCCCAGTTACTGAGGTTGGAACACGCTTTTGAAAAAAACCACTACGTGGTCGGGGCAGAAAGAAAGCAACTGGCCCACAGCCTCAGCCTCACGGAAACTCAGGTAGGAAGAAAGAAGAGGGAGGGGGGAACGGTTTCCAGTGTAAAATGAGTGAAATGTAAGGGCCGTGTTGGCTGAGGGGGGGGGGAGGAACCAAAAATATTTCCTTCTGGTCACATTCTTTAAATAAAGTAATGTCCCTTTCATGCTTATTTTCTCAAACGCGCCTGCCTTAAAAAAAAAAGAGAGAGAGAGAGAGACCTTTTTCAGTGCCCAAAGCCAGCTGTTCTAGCTACAGGCGCCTTGAAGTCCAAATAAAAATAAGATATTTCGCCTGAGTGGCAGTAAAAGGAATTCATCATCTTCCGAGTGCAATCCTATACGCCTTACTTGGAAGCCAGGTCCATTCAATTCAGTGGATCTGACTTCTAAGTAGACGAGCCTAGGATTACACCGTTGATCAAGGCAGATCGGCTTAACAGGTTTTGGCTCAAGCAGTGAGGATAATCCGGGGCCAAATTTCAAGGCAAAGGAATAAAACGGGTAGTTCGTTGTTAGGACTTCTTCGCTTTGAGGGTTTTTAAAAGTATTACGGGGGGGGGGGCTCCTCTACAGTTATTCCGCGTCAGTTGTGACAATTGAAGTACAAAGGGTGTGCTCTTTTGATTGGTTATTGTGGTCTTAGTTAGAGTGTGTGGACTTGTTTTGGGGTTGTTTCTGTTTTAAATAAAATCTGCACAATTAACAATGCGTTTCAAACTCCTAGATCACGTGTCCACAAGCGGCGGGGGGGGGGGGAATCCTATATTTTTTTTCCCTTCCAGGTTTGTTTTTGAAATTGGAAGTAAGCATTCCCTGTTTTTGATTTACATATGTCTTGGTTCAATATCCAATGAGGCTAAAATAACTGAATTTGAACAATGGGCCGATCGCGAGCACTTCTGCTTAGGAGCTCCAGATCCTATTGAGACGGAGCTATTTCCGAGCAAAAGGATAGAGGATTTAGCTGTTAGATCTAGTGGCCTTGGACCTTAAATCTCACGGATTTCCACTCGCTTTAAAAATAAATAAATCCATCCGTTCTGCAGCGAACCCGGAATCTTCTTAAAACCGTCTTCACGGCTTTGTGGGTTAAAAGCTTGGCGTTTTTCCTGATGACTTGAATTTTGGGGCAGGTTGGAAGTTCCGCTGTTGAGAAGCGCGGATGTTCTCCGATCCACAGGACTTATCGGTGGGCTTTCCGTGTGTGTGTGTGTGTGTGTGTGTGTGTGAGAGAGAGAGAGAGAGAGAGAGAGAGAGACCCCTGTGGGGTAGATAACATCCAAAAGCTGGTGCACCGGGCAAAGCAATGGGGCAGAATGGCGTTGTTTGACAATCGCCCAGATGAGGCCGTAAGAGATGCTTGGAAAAGTGTGCTTAGGATAATGATCTATTGTATTAACCTTGGGAGTGGGGCGGGGCGGGGGGGGAGAGTTGGCGAGGAGGAGGAAGAGGGGAAAGCAGATCAAATTAATCGCTCAGGCTGCATTTTAGCTTGCTCAGCTGCCTTCTGGGCGCCTCGCATCTTGGAAACCAGACGGTTGGTTTAAGGAGGGGGTTTGAGGAAGAGTTTTTTTTTTTCCCCCTTCTTCTTCTTCTTTTTTTTTTTTTTTAGCCTGACTTCCCGGTTAATGTAGTTCAGCTCGGTTATTGCGCCTTCCTTTAACTTTGGGAGCCTTTGTTCTCCCCTCCAAGCCGCTTGGAAAGAAACGCGCGTCCTCCTCGGCCGTGCTTCTCCTGGTTAAAGGAGAACGAGAGAAAAGCAGGAGGGGAAGAAGGAAGGAGGAGGAAAAAAAAAAAAAAAAAACTAGGCCCAGCTTAGTTCAAAGTTCCCAGTAAACAGTAACGTTCTTGGGTCGGATTAAGTTGTAACACTTTTTCCTCCTCTCTCCCTCCCTCCCTCTCTCTCCCTCTCTCCTTGCCTTTCTTGGGGCGGAGCGGAGCGGAGGAGAGCAAGGACGAAGGTTGAACCTTTTGTTTTAAACATGCCTCCCTTAACAAAACCCCAGTCGACGGATCGACGCTTTGATGAGGCGGGCCGAACGAGGGGGGCTGCTTGACAAGCTGATTTCCACGGGCCAAGCGGCCTTTCAGGTGGTCTTTGTCCCGCTTGATTCCGAAGCTGGTCGGGGTCTATTGTGGTGGTGTCAGGCCCCCAAGCCCCCGACAAAATGAACTCCCCTTTGGAGATCGGCCTGGAGAAATGAACCGCCGTCCCCTTCAATTAGCACGCTGAAAAGCAAATTAAACTCACCCCTTGTTCCCCCCTCCCCGCCCGTTCGCTCGCTCGCTCGCTCTTTAAAGAAGGGGCTTCGGGAGAGAGAAAAATGAATAAAAAAAAAATAAAATAAAATACAGCCGAGATGTGAGGAAAGGCGGCGTCTGGCAGCGAAGGGCTTCAGAAAGGGCAGCGGAGCGGGTTAAAGTGACTGGTTAAAAATGGTCCCGTTTTCGGATTTTTTTTTTCTCCCCCTGCCCCTCCCCCCCTCCCCTCACACACTCGTGGAAAAGTCTTTATCGGGCATTTCCAGGCTCAATCGGAACAGAAAAAGGTGCTGCTTTTCCTACTCCTTGTTTTAAAACCGCGTTTGCCTTTGGCCGCCACAGGGAAGTCGGTTCCAATCTCTTCTGAAGATAATTTCCGGACCAAGGCGATCTGTTAGTAGTAAATGGCTCGCAGCCCCCCCCCCAGCAGGTCGGGTTTGACGCGGATTTCAGCCACCGCTCGCCAAACACGCGGGGACTCCTTCCTCCCTTCTTTTTAAAGCGGGGGTCCCCAACCCTGGCAACTTTAAAGACCTGTGGACTTCAACTCCCAGAATTCCCCAGCCAGCAGGGCTGGCTGGGGAATTCTGGGAGTTGAAGTCCACAGGTCTTAAAGTTGCCAGGGTTGAGGACCCCTGTTTTCTTAAAGTGCCTAATCTTTCCCGTTTTTAACTAGAGCTTCTCTAGGAGAACTGAAGTCCCTTCCTTTGATAAGACAGAGGCGCTCGCTCCGGATACAAAAGAACCCTCCATTTGAAGTTGGCAGAATTCGAACCTCCTCCTTAATTAACTGAGCTCGTTCACCATTCTCCCTCCCCCTTTGATTATTTTTAATTACGGTAGAATAATCCCCTCCTCCACCTTTAAAGGGATTCCCCCCCCTCCTAAATTAACCAGGAACCTAGCTGAGTTTGGGCTAAATGTTGGTAGGCCTGTCTATTAATCGGTTTCTTAAGGTCCAACAGTAAGAGCTGCTTTTCAGTGGAAAGATCAAAGCAAAGACGGCAGAAAGTGGGTGGAGGCGGATTAAAAACAAAATAAAGCCTGGTTTAGTTATTATTGTGTTTAAGCTGAGGTGATTAATAGTAAGAACTTGAACCTTGGAATTCTTAAGTACTGTCTCCACCGTTTTTTTATGTAAAATGTACTGTAATGTGCACCACAGAGACGAGGTGGAAACTCAGCAACTGGGTACAGGTGCGATAACATACATAAACATATCTGAAGGCAGACTGGGATGGCTAAAATATTCCCTTCTTTGCAAGAGCACAACACCTTCACTCTATTATGTGTATTACCCACAATATGTAGATACGACTGCCACCATTCGGTAAATTACACAGGGGGTAGCCCCTCACCCTGTCAGATTTGTTTAAATGCATACATGTGTATATACCGTACACAGCATGCATATGACAGGTATGTATCGTGGGTTGATGCAGATGGGCAAACATATGGAGCAATGCATACAGGAACATGTGCAGGTGGATGTACACAGATCCAAATGTCTGGATAATAACCATATATCCCAATTCTCCCTTACTCTCCTGGGAGATGGAAGCTCATGGCCAGTGAGGCTCTGTTTTAAGCAAAATGGGCTAGAGTGGAAAGGCAGAACTACCAAATGCAGCAAGGGTCAGTAAATCTGTTTAAAATCAAATCACCAGGGTTTTCTACCCGGTCCAGGTAAATGGGCATAAGACTTCTGACCGTGGTCCATTGGGATATGAGGAGGTGGAGCCCACAGAGGGCATTTTTCCTACCAGACTATAAATAGAGCTATTCTGGAGTAACTAGGAAGTCGCTCTACAGCACAGAGACCCTGTTCACACAAGGTTAAGCAAACCGAATCACATTAGATTTTAATTTGTTGTGCGAACCAGCTCCTTAGGTTAAGCCATAGGATAATTTGGCTTAACAGGTTATGTTAATGGAATTATTATGCTTTCTTAACTAGCATTTAACACGTGTTGCGATCAAAGTGTACCCTAATTCAAAACAAGCCTTTGTAGCTCGAATGCAGTCAGGAGCTCCAGTTTCCCGGTTGCATTCAAAATCCTCCAATGTGAGCCAAGCAGAGTATTGTAAAGAGTGTTGAACACTTACCGTCATGATCCTAAACGATATTCCTGGGAGAGGAGCCCTATTGATTTTCTGATGGAATCTAATGTTCAAAACGAGTTCCAGTCGAGGGTGAAAAAGCTGCAGTCCTAAATTGACATCAATGGGGGCATATTTCCAAGGACTGCTCCTAAAGTGGGGGATTAATCTTAAAGCCCAATTACTGTGGCTTAACTGAGTTCCAGGGAGGCAGGAGGTCAGTGTTCCTGTGAAGTCAATGAGATTGTCTTTGATCCTGGCATTGTCTTCCGAAGCCACGGGAAGTCCATTAATTTCTATGGCATTTATTTCCTAGTAAGCGTGCATAGGATCTTAAAGCGCATGAAATGCCGTATTGTCAGGCTCCCGAGACCCAGCGAAGCTCTGGGCGGAGCGAGTAAGAGAGAAAGAACAAGAGTTTTTTTTTTTTTTTTTTAACGGTTCTGGCACTTACTTTCGAGGAAGACCCATGACATTCAGTGGAGAAATTGTCTATAAATACACATGGATAGTCCGGTGTTGTTTTTGCAGGGAAAAGACTGGGGTTCTAAGGGTTTAATCTTAAAAACCTCTACCCAGCCTCCAATTCCAGCCTGCCCTACTGCATAGCTGCTCTTAATTAACCCGTTTCTGAATTAGCTGCTGAATATATTGTAGGC